CAAAAATGTCCACTCGTTGCTGCACTCATACAGTCTCTGATGATAAACTCTTGTACGAATTCGAAATCTAAGACTAATAAACATACTGTCCCAATGATTGTGCTTTCGTCCTCTTTTCAACAAGAACATAGGACGCGCATATTCGCTTTCATCGGTGAAATAATGTCTATAGATAAACAAGCGTGATGGCAGATTGTGGGCGTATAGTATTATCGTTCGAAAACCTTTTGTAACCGTGATTTGTTTAGTTATTTCCTCTGACTGCAGTAAATACGCGACATTCGACTTTCGGTTACATCGAGCTTCTGTATTCGGTTTCTGGGAAGGTGGGTTGGTGGATTTATGGGAAAAGATGTAAAAAAATGCAAAAGCACATTTAAAGTCGATCCCCACCAGCGTATTAACACCGCACTGGTTAAACAATTGTTGTCATCGCTCCCCGGAGCTGCTTGTACTCTTCAGACCGCAGCATAGGTTGTCTAACTAATTCAATCTCCTCCGAGGGGGGATTTTGATTCGGGAAACTTCTGGTTGTCAACCCTTACACCTTGACAGCTAACGACTCCATTGCGCAAGCATGGCGCTTCCGTTTCCATATAGAGAGATCGCGTCTCATCACGTCGGGGTCGCCAGTTCCCGACGTGTAAGGGTCGGCAGCACGGAAGTCTCCCTCGAGAAAGTCAGGGAAGCAGAGTTAGAAGGCTAGTCTTTAATGCGGCAGAGAGGGTACAAACAGCTCGGATGTCGGTGGCAGCAAAAGTACACCACATTGAACGTCATCCACTGTTGTTATAATTCAATGCGGGGCGTCGATGTGCGTCTGAGCCCTGTCCACCTGTGGTTCGGTGACGATCGGCCTCACCGCGTCGCCACGTTAATAGCTGAATCACGGGCGACTCAAGCACTCAACTAGCAAGAGGGTTCGGTCGCTGTCGGCACGTTGAGTAGATTACCACAGATCCATCCGTTCCAGGTTTTGCCGAGTATTTAATCTCTTCGTGCGTGACAATCTGCAGCAGTGTACCGCCAAAGAACCATCCTCCGGTCATTTTGACAAACGGGTGTTCACACCACCGCAACATGAGTCCTCGCCCCCAATAGACCTGTCGAAGTATGAGGGTCGACAATCAGAACTTTGCCTAATCACAAGTCAGGGAAGATCGAGTTTTAGATTTGCGAAAATTCCCATAGCAGTAATCAGAAGACGAGGTGGCGAGCATACGTAGCTTACGATAAATTCTCGTCGGGCCAGTACAGTCATATGGGAACGGGGTAGAAGTCAAACATGTCAACAATAAGAGAAATCGATAAAAGTTCTCCTTAAAACACAGGCGGGGTGTGGGAATGTGGGGGAGGGGGGGGGGGTAAATAGCAGTCACTGTCAGGGGCGGGGTGAGAGCGGAAGGGCGCGGGCGAGTTGCAGCGCTAGTCAACCTTCGACCACTCTAGGCGCGGAGCCTGAACGTGGTTCTTCTGTGCGCATAAGGTTGACTTTCGTAACCTAATGGCGGCCGCTTCCGCTGTCGCTAACAGGCGCTGGCCTAATAGCTTAGGGTAGCTCGATAGGACCTTATAAATCACACGAAAAGCTTCGTTGGGGTCCACGCGATGTCCGGAATCGACAACATGCGCGAGAATGGCGCTGCTTATGCTCCTCGTTTCGCCTTTTCCCAGCCATGCCGGGAGGTGTTCCCGTATTCTCTTTGATCGAGTTTGTTGACAATACTTCCGACAGGAGAGCGTGAGCAAAGCTCAACAGACATTGGCAGCAATCCCTGTCGCCGGCCGTTTATGTTGTTCGTTCGGGCGCAAATTGTGTGCGATTGCGCCCAATCGATGTAGACAGAAATATCGATCGGTGTCGCGGCTTCAGCGAAGGTTGAGTCACACGCGCGTTCGCAGTGAATGATAGGCGTGCTAGGCCGCTCGAAGGCGTCATGGATAAACAGCAGTGGTATACATGCAATCAAAACGATGAATGCGTAACGTATTAAGGAAGGTGGGGAGGGGGAGGGGTACGAAGGCACGACAAGTGCTCATCCCACAGCGACAGCCCACGAACAGCCCTGTGAGAACCCTCTATGAGAGAACAGAAACTCGCTGCGGGGAGACAAACGGTAACCCGACGGACTAGCGACTACATACAACTTTTCTGGGCGTAATAGACCTCCGGGGTGGATGAACGGTCAACACCGAAGAGACCAAATGTCTAGCAATCACCATCGTGCAGAAGCGTGTCGAAAGCAGTCTTCGGTTTTCTTGCCAGCTTTGGAAGACGTAGATGCTGGACCGGACATGGGCTTGGCTACAGCACACTTGCTGACAGAACTACTTCATCGTTAGATTTGCAAAATTCCTGCTTGTCTCGTTTAAGGGGCAATACCCTCAGTGAGGCCACAGTCCCTGGCACAAAACACCACCATGGCATGGCATGTGCAGGCCCTCAGCATGAGCGGCATTTGAAAGGCCCATTCCTACGGCCAATCGCTTCAACCTGAATCCTACCCTGTCTGAAGGTGTGTAACAGTTTGCTCAATCCTGAAAAACGAATTGTCAGTGGGCGCGGACCCAAAAAAATGGTAGAGGGGCGCTCATCGATTACGTTACGGAACTCACTCGTCCCGTTGTGCCTTGGGGTTCTCTCTTGAGCCCCAGCCAGCAGTTGCGCAGCGGGGCGTACTGTAGGGAGAATAACATTGCCGACAAAGGCAAGGGAGACTTGAATGGCCATTTTTGGCGTATTAGCCGTCTGCAGCCAACCATAACCAACCCCGAGGTGTGAAACACCTGGGCCTCGATCCCGCGACCTGTTGGTTAGAAGGCCAACGCCTCTAACCATTGTGCATTCCCGATCGAAACCGATAAGACAGCGAGCTCGTGACTCAGTGGTTAGAGACGTCGGACTTCTAACCAACAGGTTGCTGGGTCGAACCTCAGGCGTTCCATACTTCGGAGTTGGGTATGGCTGGCTGGCAACGACTACTAAGCCAGAGATGGCCATTCCAGTCTCCCTTTTCTTTGTCGGTAATGTTCTACTCACAAGACAGCAACAACTTAATACCCTCCCAAACAGATGCGGGGATAGTTAAGCAAGATCTTAAAGGTGACGTGAAGGAAATATAAGCACCAGGAAATTCGCACACTGTGGTATGCCTCGTTTCGACTGAACACCTTGGTAATCATACACGAAGATCCTACACAAGAAAAGATTATAGCTAAGTAGTATATCTTCCTTCCCCTTACCGTACGGTCCATACCTAGTGGTCATTTCGTTGCCATCCCCGTTGCCGGATTAACTAAAGGTACCGGGGTAGGCGTAAGACGAAATCATGAATTGTGTCAAGAGCAAAAGCAGGCATCGGCCGGCGAACGTGTAAATTAGCTGTTGGCAAACCTAAGTATTAGGGGCCGATTTTTAGCACAATGCTCAATTGTCAACTTGAAATAAACCTTACCTAAGGAAAATAAGACTTACGAATGCATCACAAGGCGGCAGGAGTGCAATTAGGGCTGCTGCCTCGCATCTGGAGACCTCTTCGTGTTGGCGACTACGACTAACCTGGGAGACCACCCACTCAAACAGCGTGGGACTGGTGCCCGGCTAGACACACGAAACTTCTTCTCCAACCGAATGGTTACAGCTTGGAATGCTTTGCCTGAGGATGTTGTTATGTCCGGATCCGTAGACACTTTTAAACGGAGGCTAGATCAGCAGTGGAGCGCGCGCCACAATAACGGCGGACTACAGCCACCTTGATAGCCAAGTTAAGGCGATGCTACTACCAATACCCAAGTCACATACTTTTATGTAATTTATTAATTTTGGACAACGTGGCACACCACTGTTCGCATTCACCACGATGCCTGCAGGCCAAAAAAATTTTGCTTCTCTTCCTGTATCTTAAGTGTGCTTCAACTGTCTGCTGCATTTAATCTACAAATCGAGTTCATATGCCTTTAAATGCTGTTAACGCATGACATTCTGCGTCCGTCAGTACAGTTTTCGTTACTCCCTTGTATTTCTTTCATGTTACTCCCTTTCCTTTTTCTCCATATACTTCCTCTGCATGTAAACAAAAGGGATTTCAAAGGTACACACCTACCCTCCCTGAAATACACTGATACTGATAAACGAATTCCCCTGGACACTCCAAGATGCCATCGCCAGCACGGGGTCCGGGAGATTTCCTGATACACGAAACCTCTCCCCTCCCCAGAGATCACGTTTATTGCCAATTCATTAATTACGAAATGGTACCACCAAATCTCTCCAACGGAAATGTCTTTGTGCAATGGTTTACCGTACTAACAACATAGGTGTTAGCTAAAAGCCTGAAAGGGCCCGTTTCGAAAGACTTACTCCAAGTTCGCGCATTAATTTCCTCGGAAATTAAACAAGGAAATGTCTTTATTCGGGGTCAGTGGGAGTCAACACCGTCTACGGACAACAGCGGCACATTGCGCAGCGCCTACCTAACACTCCTCCAGCAGCCATCAAGCTCCATTGAAAAGAGCAAGCCAAGACGATTGGACGTGGGTTTACGTACGGCGACCGACTGCATCACGCACGTGGTGCTCTCTGAGTCGACACGAATCAGCAACGGACGTGAAGACCACGATTAGCCAATCGGCCGCGGGAATGACTGTGAGCAAAATGGGCAGCTGTGTATCTCAATCCTTGGTGATCAAGTACTCGTTTCCGTAAGTTCACACCTGGCCAGCTAGCCCATTCTCCGGTACTATCACCACTTACCACGACGTTAACTACAAGAAACTGGCTTACCGGCAATGAACCAACCCAAGGAAACAATTCGAACGGCTCTTGAAGGTGTGGTCTCTGCCCTCAATGTAATGTCACTGCGCGCAGACAAATCCACTTTTAGAGAAATCAAAAAGGCCGGCAATCATCAGTAAGAAAATGATCACAATTTATTCTGTCAGAAGAAGGCGTAGGCATGCCGAAGATGAGGGCTAGGAGGGGCTGAGAAGAGTGAGATATCTTAACGCCTGTCCGTCTTTCCGATGGAACGCTTGCCTGCAAAGAGGTGTTTCGGTTTGAGGTCGGGGATGTGACGATCGGCCTCGCCCTTGCGTGACTGGGCGGAGACTTTCCGGAGGGCGAGCAGGGACTTGGCGCGGGCCACCTTATGCATACTCTCGTCTCGCACACCGGAGCGCGATCGGGGTCGGTTGGCGCGCTCCACAGCGGCCACATGCGAGGGATCCGGTGTTTGGGCACGCTTAACCGCTTCTCGCTTCCGTGACTGGCTTCGCTGAACCTGCAGGGATTGGGGGGGAGGACGTGTGAACATCCAATGACACAGGACTATCCACTTAGGCATTTAGGGGATGAGGTCGCTACAGTGTCATGGGGACACCGGTTGACAAAAATTCAAGGCAGACATTAGTAATCGGCACGATAATGACTCGCAGCCCTGCTTCTAAGAGACATTCCCGTTTACTATTCAGCTGCGCCACACAGGCTGAGTATAAAAGCTGTTTATGGAGAATCATGACTTATCCAGTTTGTGACTCAAACGCCTGTCGCTCACTGTGGGGATTTCGGCGCCACCGGGGTTTGAAGAGGTGGCCGCGTGCCGTCAGGTGGCCTATGACTTATGATGGTAGAGAGGCGTTCATCGATCGATCCGGTTGGAGTGGATGATGGTGATGATGATGATGATTGCGGCGTCCTAGGAAAGCCTTATGCCCGGTAGAGTTACGTATCAAAATAGACCCCGCTTTGGACGTATTAACACGGAATATTTCAGCAAACCCTTTTCAAGATAGTTGGTTGCAAGCGTGAAGAGCAGTTACCATTGTCCCGAAGAGGGCACAATAAGGAATTGCTCATGAATGTGTTTGTTGTAGGCGGACCTTCACAACGCCCATTTCATCGCCTGAGCCATGCTCTAATGGAAACTTTCCCTGCCACGACTTTGAGTATGTCGTGACAATTTCAAGTGCATCAAATCTAGTATATCGAGGAGTCTGCTAAATTGCCAGCTTCGACTTTCTGTCCTTCCGTGTTCAGATGGCCCGACGCAACTTATCGGGCGACTGGAGACACGATCAGGAGCGCTGGCTGACGAGGTGGCGTGAGCCTTCGCCCAAAACGTGCCACACACACATGTAGGTTAGAGGCCCATGTATGTCGCGGGCCGTGGTTCCCAACCTGGCCTAACGCAACAGCGGTTTAACGGCAGGAAAAAGGCGACACCTACCTCCTTGCTGACATCGACAGGGAGACCCAGTTTGCCGAGTTCGACCTTCATCTCCTTTCCGCTGACACCCTTTTGACTGCGCGGCACGCGTGACTTCTGCTTGTTCTTCCTTGCGTGCGCCTCAAGAACGCGAAGAGCACGGGCCTCACGAATCCTGCGGGGAGGGGGGGGGGGTGAAATCAAGGGCATGTAAATGAACGAATGGTGAGCAGTTTACGCATTGTTGGGTGTTCTACCCACCATCTGCTGCTGTGGGGCATACGGTGGACATCGTCGGATGCGACGATCGAACTATTGGGTGTTCTACGCTGGTATCGATGTTCATTTAAGTAGCATGGTGCACAACGGGCCAGTTCGTAAACAATGTTTGGGAAGGGAGACGATCGAAAGGATGCAGTGGAGGCGATATGAAAACTGCGCAAAGTGCGATAACTCATGAAATGCTAACCGAAATTGCGTCTTCGATTCGAAAAGATTGCTTGAGTAGGGCTATAAGATTAATCACCGTGCAACACAATCCCATGATAATTCGGTTACTTCTGGGTGTCGGCTTTTGAACGAAATTATTTTCAGCCGCCTGCAAAAACTACGCTCTGTAAAAAATGACTGCTCAAGTAGTATGAATTTTTCTAATCGATTCTCGATGGCCTGATAAATTTAACTACATTTCATAGAGAATGTGCACAAAACACTTGTTTCCTTACTCATTTGTTGGAAAATTACGTTTTCCTTCAATTTCATACTTAAAAAAGGTTATAGTTTCCGAATAACTTCGAATCCGACCTGTCGTTAAACTTGCATTCAGGATTTCCAAACCACAAGCTGTACGTTTACCCTGTACGGAGAGTCATACATTTCTATATGGTATTAAGAGAAGAACATGGAATTCATAAAGTTTGGCAGTGGATTTGAGCTATATTGTAAACGTTACAAGCAACATTTGTGGGTTCCAGACGTTGCAGTAAGTTGGGCGAGTAACTTAACCCAAATGTGATTAAGCTCGCGTCGTTCGGCGGGGCCTCGTAGCTCAAGTGGTTAGAGCGTTGGCTGGACTAAAGCCTTCCCCTTACGGCGTGGGTTCGAATCCCACCGAGGCGCCGAGTTTTTCACAGTTGGGTCAATGTGAAATAAACGCAGAGACACAATGTTTCATGAAGGGGCATTTCATGGTCTTAAAAATGTCATAATTAAAGACCTTTTCAAAACACAATTGAATCCTTCCATCAAGTATAAAATTGGATGAAAACGTAATTTCCTTTAAATGTTATACTTGAAGGACGGGGTTCAGTTGGGTTTTGAGTTTTTGATCATGAGGAAAATTCATACCACTTAAGTAATCATTTTTACAGTGCGTAGTTTTTGCAGGCGGCCTGAAAGAAGTTCATTCAAAAGCCGGCACCCTGAAGTAACTAAAATGCTTTATGATTATGCTTCATGATGATTAATGTCGCAATGCTACTTAGGCAATCTTTTTGAATCGAAAACGCATTTCTGAAGTTCAGTTAACATTTCATGAAGTAGCACATATACTGTACAACTGGGTTCAGTGGGGAGCTGGGCTGAAAACTCCAGTGGTATTCTGGGTCAACGGCACCTCACCACAGCAACAAGAATATACATGACAACTAGTTTAGCAACATGCCTAAAGGCAGAATAATTGAGCTATAGTTGAAGACCGTAAAAGTGAAATCGCTGTTAGTCCTTTAGGATGAACACAACCCAAAACAAACGAACCCCAAAAAGGACATGGCACACACTACCGAACTGGCCATGCCAAACGTCATATGCCAGCCAATAAAACTTAGACCGACGACCTCCGGCACAGTTTTGGAAACCAAACATGCTGCGCCGGAGGGGAGGATAGAGACATTGGGCTTCGAACCCGGGAACCTCCACCTACTCGACCCCCACACAACGCCTGTCTGACGAGTCACGGCTTGACCAGGCTTCTGGATGACCGAGGGGCAGCGTTCCATGCGCTCTGGTCGGAAACGCCAGGAACCAATGGCTTTCAGAGGGGCAAGTGCCTACTCAAAACAACAATAATCACTGAGATAAAAAGGACGGAAAGCCAGTGAAACAGAGGACCGGGCTGGTTTAAAAGAAAACTTGTGAAGAGCACACATTGGATAAATCTTTGCATGAGTGCTAAAAGTAGGCTACCAGGGAGAAAATATAACAACATTTTGACCCTCGAACAGAATGACAGTTGATAAGGAATGCAGACAGGGAGGGGTGGCTGCAACTTACTTTCTGGCCGTAGATCTAATTTTCTGCATTTCTGGGTCATCGTCGTCAGGGTCGTGGAGATCGCCGGCCTCATAGAAGCCCACATCCTCCAGCTCCCGCTCCTGAGCCTCTAGTTCATTCAGCTTGGCTTCAATGTCCTCGTCAAAGAAGTCAGCAATGTTGTGACCATCAATGATTTCTGGAATAATGTCGTTCTTCTCGTTTTTGTTTTTCAGCAACCAGTGGTCACGCAGATTCAGGTAGAAATCATCACCCTCGGCCAGCTCGCGCTCGCGCATTGTGAGGCGTGGTCGCTTCGCTGAACTGACATCCTCTTCTGCATTGCCATCCGTTTCCATCGGTGCATCCTCGCGGGTGCTGTCCTCCGCCGCGCGTTTACGTTTTTCTAAGACCGCTGGGGGTATCACCGGCGGGCGGTCTGCCAGGGACTTCATGGTAAATAAACAACTAAGTTGTTACTTACAATCTTAAAGTAGGCAAACTATTATAGTTAGAAATAATGGTAGGGGGCGCTCACCGATCGTTCATAAATATAGGACTTCGTCAGTGCCACCTCAGAGGTTCTGGCAGCACATAAGAAGGACACATAAGAAGGCCAAAGCATTCGTTTTATAGGAGAAACGCGCAAACTCTGACAGATAGCAGTTTTGCAAACCGTGCCCCTCAGCACGTCAGCCGGGTTACAGCGCAGAATGTACCGAGTTTCTATGAGGAAGGAGGTCGAAGTATCAGCCGCAACCTCTCGTCCATTTTACATGTTCCAGTAACATTCGGAGTCTGACGTCTGACTGCGGACGAAATCAGACACAGTCGTTGAAGTGACGTGGACCTCCGTCCAACGTGTGTCATACGCATGTAGAGGAATAGTTAAGGGCTCACACAGTTTGTCCAATGCGTTTTATGAACCAATGTCGCGCTTCTTTCTTTTCTAGCATAACAGCGACGAATCCCACTTAGGGCCATTAAGCTAGACATAAGCAGTCAGTGAATGCAGGGTTGAGCCTTGAGCCAGGGAGGAAGATAAGAGCGGTCAAGGCCAACAAGACAGGTGGATTGATTCTCTCCTCAAGCGAATAATTGACGAGAGGTTTAAACGTGTGAAAATTGTCCACTACCGAGTCGAAATAAAGTAGTTTCTTTAAGCTATGTGATGTCGCGCGAAAACAAAACTTTATACTTCGCTAAGACAGCGCTATAATTCAAGGCAAGTGTCAGACTAATACAGCCAATGATATAGTTTAGTCAAAAGTGATAAAATGCTTCTAAAATACACATTCAGTGCATCCAGAAAGTAAACTATCCTAGTTACTGATTACTCGTAGACAAGTCTGAAACATGCCGGGGAGGTGCATCAAATAATGGGGCATTTTTCGAGTTTCTTCTGGCTGCTACATCTACATCGGCTACAGTTTAAGAATGGGATTTTGGACGCGGGCGCTGCCACGGCCCGGAAATCCTGACGGTGTCAAAAATAATGGACTTAATTCAAAAAAACAACTCCAACTTTGAAAAGTCAAGTTGGCGAACGCACGTTTTCGGTAATTCTTCCTCAGGCCAATACAATTACATGAACGAATGAAAATGTACAAAATCAACAGTGTTTATAGATGCCCCAAGGGCTATTAAGTCACTAACACTCATCATCCCCACGCCGCCCGCATGAGAAGGTCGGCGGATGTTAGTCGTCAGGGCTAGGGGAGGGGGGTAAGAGAGTCTTTGAGTAATGATCTTGGGTTGAGTACACGGAGTACCCATCATCGTGATTAGGGATTTGAGGCGGCATGGCTTCATCACTTGGGGTTGGCGTTGGCCACGGCAGCGAAAGCGCTTGTGTCAGAATTTTCTGACAACATAACACCGGATTCGCTAACCGTATAGCTACTGCCTCTGCCGTTGCTAGTATCCGTTGGCGTAGGCCTTTAACGAAGCATGTTGGTGTCCGGTAGACAACCTGAAATGCTTTCTTGGCATCGACTCGGTGGTTCGTATCGATTAAATGCGCGAGAATAGAACTCGAAATCGACCGGGTCTCACCTCTGTCTAGCCAGGCGGGCATATGTTCACGTACCCTCTTTACCAGGCGTGCGTTCGCCAACTTGACTTTTCAATTTTAACATGGGAATATTTGCGGAACTCCAACTTCCTTAAGAATGACGACCACTACGGTAAACGAAAAGTCAGTCGATGAGCCTCCCGCTGAAGCCAGAGCATAATGATCACACACGTCGCGGATTGGCAAACGACATAATGCAACGCATTCTCAGTCACAGACGATGTTCAGAATTCAGTTTAGAACTCGGCACGGCTCGTGTTCACTAAAATACACTATCTAATAACAATTTCACAGTCGCTACTGGTAGCACTTTCTCCTTACTATTCAAACTAAACTGCACTAATGGCTGTTTGGGGCAAGGAATTATGCGTAGATAAGCCCTCTCAAGCACAAGTATTGACATTCGTGTTGAAAGATTTGATGCAGCTGCTTTCTATACTAGAACACCCTGTTGAGTCATACAACAGATGAAGTAAGTGAAGAATAAAATCTAGACGATTGGGTCAGGGGATCTCAAACGTTGTGCACCCCACTTTTTGGCCAACGGCTTTCGAAAAAAAACCCTTTCCAAGCAGGATATGTTTTTAATTCCTTTCGCCGCCGAAGTTTACAATTTCAGGGCGGAAATCGACGTCGCCTTACGCCCAGATAATCCTCTATGTCAAGACCTGGGAGCTTTGGTCGATGCACTTGTGTATGTTTCCTACTGATTAGAGATTTTTAATGAATTCGCACGTTTTTTGAATTACGTCACTTACTGTAGTATGGTAGACAGGGACGCCATAAACTTCAGAAGCATGTGCCTCGATCCCCCAACTTTACGTCGGGGCTTCTGCTATTTCATATATTTCACCCCGCTTAACCACGATACTAGCGGCGTGGCACTTGGGTACTGCATGCATGTCTTTAAGCCGCGGAAAAGTACACAGTACAGTACACTGTTGAATACAACTGCCTCTTCCAGACACAAAACATTCGATTTTTAAGGTCAACAAAATAGTTGTCCGTCTTGGGAAAATATGTCAGCCCTGGGAGGCAAAGACCGAATGGACGATTTAGTCCCGCCTTGGGACGCTTTTCTGGCTGTCAAATTTCACTATCTTTCGTAATCTACTCCAATTAAAATGATTCTCTCGTCCTACTATGCTCTGAAGGCCATACGTTTTTCTCACAGCGAAATAGATTGTCAACGAAAGCTGAATGAACAGGCGAACGAAGCAGCAACGGCAAAAAGCACTTACCTCGCCAGCCCGGGGTTTGGGGTAGGCCACGTACAGCCGGTTGGCGATGGAGCCCTCACGAAGGCTGGCAGCACCGGCCCTCAATTTGGCTTCCACCCGGCGTGCTAGAAGGTCATCACAGGCTGTCGCGCGAACCTTCATCACACCCTCCTCAGTGAGGGTGGACATTTCGAGGAAGAGTGGCTTCTCCATGTCGGCCGGGCTCGAAGACTCCGCGTCCGGCATCCGTACCAGTGAAGCGATCAACTCACGATCCTCGTCCGGTATCTCGGCCAACGACCGAACGTCCGTCTACAGGCGAAGGGAGGTGTTTCACTATCAGCATTCACCGATTTCTCTCGGCTCAATAAGTTTTATCACAGAGGCTATAGTAGGCACCACTGTAGTAGCAATTTCAGGCTTACTCAGCTCCCACAAACGAACTGCCAACCAGCTGCATTCTGTGCTGGAGGGTAGTAGAGTTTGTATAGACAGCGAGGACTGTTTACTTTAGTAGAGATTGGACGATTATCATGATGACTTCAGGCACACCTTATTTGCACAGAAGTTGGTCACGAGTCTTTAGCTCATCTTAATAAATTATGTTTAGAAGGCTATTTACATACTGGATAAAGGCTTAAAAGACTTTCTGATAGGTCTGAAAAGAAAGCCACGTAGTCCAGTATACGCAGGCTTATTACATTTGATGACATAAAATGCTAGTGCTTGTAAAAATTACTTCGAGGAAAATGCACAGCAAGTGATTTAAGAGCCTCAGCAACGTATACGGACGCGCAAGCTAAAAAGAGGAATCAGAGCTTTCTGAAAAGCTACACGGCTTCTGCTTTCCATGAGGCAAGAATAGACAAGAAATCCTCCTGAAATACCCTTTGAAACACTGATTTACTTCGTATAAAAATAAAAAAGCACTAATACAAGTGATTTGGGTGGTCTCTATATGGACGCGAAGGTTTTCGGTGCAAAGGCAGAATTTCGTGATGTGCGAATCGATTTCGGAATACGCTGCACGTTCATCATTCGAGCAGCTCCATCTGAATAAGGATTCCTGGGCGAGAGGCAACTTACGGACTTCGGTCAGTACTTGACGAGTTTCAGTGTGTGCATATACTAAGTTTGGGTCACCTAAACTGAAAGTACAATGTAGTACAGAAGCGACCGATGAGATTTTGTCCCTAAGAACATTTCGTGTGACGTAATAGAAGCGATGTGCCTCAGAAACACCGTGGTTTATAAAATAAAACGATGGCGAAAACTTGAAAGTTCATGCTTGGCTAAAGAAGACTATTCACTGAACAGATTATTTCCTTAATGTACTAACTCACCTTATTAGCAACCACCACAAGCGGTTTGTTGGCGAAAAGAGGTCTGAGACTCTTGAAGAGTGAAACCTGCTGTTGGATTGAGTAACCACACTGTTCTGACAGATCCATTATATAGACAACTGCAGCCTGAAGGTGGGCAAGGGCAGTGATAGCAACCATCTCGATTGTGTTGTGCTCGTCGAGGGGTCGATCCAACACGCCTGGTGTGTCAATAACTTGCCAGCGAAGATTTTTGTAGTCAGTGTGGCCAACGAAGAGTGATTTCGTGGTGAAAGGGAAGGGCTGGACATCGACATCAGCTCTCGTTATCTATCGGAAATCCAATAAATTGCGTAATTTGAGCAACGACTGTGAAACTTTGCAATGGGATGAGACAAAGGACTCGTGGTCAGTGTCGAATTTTTTAAAAAAAAACGTGTCAGAGCCATCTGGAGATAATAAAACCACGGCAGGGACACACAATAAAGTTCAAAGTTAGTACACGGTAGGCCGGTGCTTCTTTATCATCATTCATTTTGGAGTAAATATTTCCAACTACTATAAACTAGACGAAAACTGAACAAAGTGACGTGGAATATTCGGCTCTCCTATCCTTAGTTCTTTTGTGCTGACTTAGTGTAATGTTAAAAAGAAACAAAGTGTTGCGTCATTAACAGAAAAAAATGATGCGATGAAGGCGCATTTATATGAGACCGGTACAGAAATGGTCGAGGATGCCATGGTACCCGCGTGTTTCAATGGGTTCTGCGAAGACAGTAAATCCGAGTGCATTTTTGCGGCAAAATAAGGACACGCCTGCCAAACAGTATGCTACAATCACAATCGAGTAAAAAGGTCATCTGTCGGAGAGGATGCCTTGTATTTAGAGTCCCTTATCTCAGGAAAAAAGTGAATGATGATTTAAAAAAGTTTAACTAAACCAGGCGTGAACATGTTTTGGGCGTGGACTACTAGCAATATCATCGTTTTTGAAACGATAATGAGTCATGAAACCATGGAGAGCGTATAGGATTCAGAAGTAAGATGATTTATTGGAATCCAAATGGTGTCAACATACGCAAGTTATTTTCGCATTAGGTTAGAGAAACGAAAAAGGAAAGTATGACAGCATAAAAACGTTCCATGACATAACACACACTACTGCATTTCGACAAACCAAATCTGGAAGAGGTAAGAAAGTAGACAGGTTGTTGCAAACCTTGTTTAAGAAGCTCGACTTGCCGACGTTAGGGAAACCACAGACAATTATCGTCCGAGTATCTGGGTCAATGCAGGGTAACCTTGAGAGGTGCTGGCGAGTGTCCTCCAAGAATTTCAGATTGTCAGCCTGTCGCTTTATAACAGTACACATGCTGCAGGTCTTTTTAGCAAAATGACATCTACGTGCTTACCGACCGAACGCAGTGCGCTTCAAAGTTTTACATTGGTAGAGAGAATCGCCATACTTCAGCATTTTCACTTGATCCCGAGCAATACTTAAGGAACAAAAGTCAGAAGGTATTGGGCAAACCCATCGATTATGTTTTTGGCAGTGTTGATTTGACCAAGGGCCAGCTTATAATGGTCTTTTGAATACAGCACATTAATGAGGTCCGCATAGAAGGGGTGAATATTCTGGCCGACAGGTAAGAAAAAAATCAGGTACCTCTATCATTGGAAACTCTGTGACTATCGCATTTAACTTGTCATGGAAAAATTGTTGACATGTTTTCACCTTGCGCATGTAAAAACTGCGAATGCGCGGTATAGGATATTGCTTATGTATTTCAGTTGGCGTCTTCCTTTGGGTTTTTGAAAGGACTATATCAATAAACTCCTACAAATAATTTCAAGAAAAAAGAAGGGAAAACCTTCGCTGAGGGCACCACAGTAATGCTCTTGAACGTGTAGCCCGGCATCTTCACGGAGGCAAACACGCGCCGATTTCAAAATGTGAGGCGTTGTTGCAGAGAACTTTAACAATTATGCGCACTTCACTCCATGAAATATGTACAATATTCCTTTTTTGATGTTCATGCGTCTTTTAATCAACAAGTGCTATACAGTGAAACTAAACACTCGTACACGATGTGGTGAAACATAGTCTTAGACTGTGCGGCCAAAGATAAGCACGGGACGGGAACACGCATGCAGACGAGCTATTTAGAAGACTATACCATTTGTAGCATTTTATTAAGACAACTCTGAGTTGATTCCGTGTATAGGAATCCGTTCGGACTTGGTATGAAACGGGAAATTAGAGTGTGCTTAAATAAGTTAAATCTTGGAATCTTTCAACGCGTTCTTTATGTCATCTGTTATATAAAGTTTTGTGCAATGATTTATCGTACTAACAACGCAGGTATTAGCTAAAAGCCCTAACACGCGTGTTTTGCCGATCTTATGCCGCTGCATGTCGCAGCTGCGAGGGGTTTGGCTCATTAGTGGCTCCCCCAGATCTCCCCTTGTGTTTTCTGGTAATATGAACTCCAGTTTTGCGATCAGTGCAGGTACAAACAGTAAAAATTATTGAATTCCTTAAATAAAGGAGAGGATTTTGAGTTACTATTCTGGTGTTTTGACGAATACGGCAGCACGGAAGACTAACCCATTCGCATTTTGGCCCTCATGCATGTCGTCCGTAAACCTATTTACTTTACCGTAATCATTCCTCAATCGTTTATTGCAGAGCTTTGTGTGTGAGAATAGGTAAGCGTGCAAATTTGAAATCATTAATAGCATATAAAAATACCCAGCACTGATGTACATTTAGGAGGAGCCAATGTACACTGGAGACATAAAATTGGCCTCAGTAGGAACTTAAAAATGAAAAAAGAATAATAATTTAATTGAACTTACTTATTACACATGAGAACTGTCACTCTCAACGGAAACGTACTCAAAAAACGACCATCATGAATGAATCTCGAGGCGAATGAGCAGACAGATACAGTGTTCAGTGTGGTTTTATAAGAGCGTCTCATGTAAAAAGCGAATGAACTGCAAATCAAATCACCCTCAAAAATTGTATGCGGGACGCATGAAATAAATTCCATTCGCTAGTTGTTAGGGAGAATAGTCGTCGCTTATAGGAAGGACAATATGCATGTGGGATAGATTCGCCCTGCAGGTGAGAATATATAAGTGTTCGAAACGTCCCTCGTCAGTGGAGAATTCCTAAACCTAAGGAAGTTGTTCGCCGCAGGCGCAATCACATTATACCTACGATGGCTGCGGAAGCAACCGTCAAGTTGGCAAGACGGGAGGAATCCACTGCAATCGGTCACAGACCGCTTAGATTCTAAACGAGGTGGGCATTAAAATCAGCGAGGCTCATCGAAGCGCGGTGACATGCGACCGTGATGATTCTTTGCTGGCCGATCAGAATACCAGCAGTCGAAGAAAATCAGGGATTCAACCGTGATCTTCAGCAGATTAGGAGGTCAAAATAGGAAGACGACATTTAGAATTCCTAGGGTCATCGCTACCGTTTTTTGAAAAGTCTTAATCATAACTTCTATTTGGGAGAAAAAATATGTGACATAAACCCCCATATACACGCAGCCTTTGCAGAAACCTGATCTACCTGATCTCCGAATGATTTTTAAAGTGCATCTTCGTCAAAGTCCATAAACGCACGCTTGATGCTGTACAGTACGGACATTGCGCTTTTTGTCACTCTCGAACAATGGGCGGATGGTTTTAGGGTGCTCGTAGTCAGCACACTGAGGTCCTTTTGGGCCTCGACCTATTGTAGGGCTGCACTGTCCAGACAGTAGTCTCTTGTGTTGGCGGATCTGGCTGTGTTGCCTAGGCGAAATATGCTACATTTACCACGTTGAACCGCAGGAGACAACAGTTTGACCAACCCTACGACCGATATAGGTTCACCTGCAATCTGTCTTCGTCGACAGGACCCAGAATTACACTCCATATCTTCATGTCATCGGCAAACATGGCCGTTTCGCAGTCTAAAGTTCTTGTAGCATCGTCCACGTATATAAGGAATAAAATGCGTCCCAATTCTGAACCCTGGGAGACACCAATCTCGACCACAACAGGGTCTGATTTCCCCCGGCCGATGCACACAACCTGGTGTCGACTCAAAAGGAAGTTTCCGATCCATTTAAGGAAGTTGTCACCTATCCCTATTTCTTCTAGTTTATGTAAGAGCCTCTGGTGTGGCACAGTGTAGAACGTCTTCTGGAAGTCGATGAAGGCTATGTGGACCGCGTGCCTGTCGTCGAGAGCTCGGGTCCAGCTCTGGAGAGATTGCAGCAAGCTTTTCGTGCAGGGTTTTCCTTTCCTGAACCCATATTGGCATTTCGATAGCAGACCGTGAACTTCCAGGAATTGCATCAGTTCACTCTTTATGATCATTTCCATTACTACGCAGAGAATACATGTCAAGCTTATGGGCCAGTAATTTGTCGTCGTTGCCCTGTTACCTCCTTTGTGTAGCGGAGTAATATGCGCCAGCTTTCAATCGATAGGAAGTGTTCCAGTGTCAAATGACTTTTGAAAGAGCATCGAAAAAGGCACAGAAAGCTCACTTGCAAGTTCCTTGAGAAGTTTGGGTGGAATCTCGCCTGGTCCTGGCGACTTCGATTTGTTCAATGCCTCTAATTCTCTTCGGACAATGCCTTCTGAGAAGAGTAGATTACTGACGTTTTGGGTCGGCCGATCTTCTGTGGAGGGAAGATGGAACCTTGCTTCGTTTGTGTAGACTAATTGGAAAAAATGTTAAGAATACGTAGCTTTATCCCTACTATCAGCAATCTCAACGCCATCAGTAGTCCTTATTAAGGAGATTTGATGCCTGGTCCTTGTACTTCGTCCGATGTACCTGTAAAGTAATTTTGGGTTCTGCGTTGCGTTTTGTAGCAATTTCTTCTCATATCCCCGCCGCGTTTATGTATGTTAGGAGTTTTTGTCACTGCCGGCTCATCATTCTTCCTAACATATTACTTATTCAATAACTATGAATTAAGTATTGTATAGATTCTGTATATTTGTTCTAAAATTCACGTAAAAGTTATCCTTACTTGCTGTGAAAGGACCTCCACGGGTCCTGAATATAAATTATTATTATTATAACTTTTCGGTCGAGTATTAGCGAGGGTTTTATTCTTCTGTAGAATTAATCCAATCATTTCTAAGCTTTTAAGTGGTTTTTCCCCGCTCGCTCAACAATTTTATTAACGGACTACAAAGTCAGAAAGTATGAATTGCATTTTGTAAAGATTTTGTCAACCTCGTCTAAAATCCGTATGTAAATTTATTTTTACTTGCTTAGATGGGATCCCGACGGGTCTTTTATAAAAAGTATTATTATTATTATTTGAAGCACTCGTTCGACCAGTGTTGGAATATTGTATTCAGGCATGGTTTCCGTGGACGAAACAAGATTCCACCCTACTGGAGAACGTACAACGAAGAGCGACCAAACCAGTCGATGGATTAAGTAACTACCTTCTGAGAGACACCTGGACAAGCTAAAAATATTTCCTCTCTCTTATAAACAATACAGATGACATATGATCATGGTCTTCAGGATCGTCTGAGGGCTGGACTGTGCTCTTAAGTTTGACGATTTCATCGAACTGGCGCGGACGGCCAATCTTCGAGGCCACCAATACAAATTGAAGCTAAAATATGCCAAACTGGAATTCCGGGCCAAATTCTTCCCCCACCGGTTGGTTGAAGAATGGAACAACTTGCCGAACTCCGTTGTCTTAGCGGAAAACGTTGAGACCTTTAAAAGAATATTAGGTAGGTTTATGCTTGATGGTCAAACATTTACACGATATCAATGACTGGCAAAACTGCTATGTAAATATCTGTCGGTTTTTTTTTTTCAAACGTCTGTCTGTAAATAGGGTTTTCCAAGGCTCCGCTTCTATCCCTCATATATATATGGAATTATACTGATTTGACTTCGCATACATATGGGGTTGGGGAGAGCACTAGAAATCTTAACTATTTGTGTGCGTCCACTGAGGTAAGAGGATATAAAATTCGGAGGTTTACCATCTATTTGGAATGAGGAAATTTTCAAGAGAAGAAGATTATATTCAACACGATAAAAACACCTTAGTGAAATCGAAATAGACTGTAAAGTGCAAAATCATCTTCCCTATATTGGAGAAGACGGTCAAATAAGAGAGCTGACAGGTGTCACAATACCGAGCTTTGCTGAATCCATGCTATTCAGCACTCAGTAGGTTATTCTCTTTTAAGTGACACTTTATCATATCTTTGATCAATGTCTCAATCATTTCCGAAACTGCGGGAATTGTGTTTATTGGCCGAAAGTCACCGAAAAACGTAGATTGGCAATGCTTGGCGATCGGCAAAACGTGTGATTCCTACCACAAATTAGGATAGGCTTCACTTTCAAGAGCAAGACTAAATATCTTGCACAGGAGGCATGGAAAAATTTCATTTGCATACGCTTTTAGAATGCTAACTTGGACACCATCGCGTCCAGGGCTATGAGATGGAAGAAAACGCCGAGTCGCTACAGTCACATTCCACCTGGTAGACGCTATGGTTTTGAGGACGGCCCCGGTCCAATCCCGAACGGTCGGAGACGGAGCGGTCGAGTTTTTAATAAACGTTTTGGACAAGAAGTCGTTGAAACTATCAGCATCAGGTATAATAATAATAATTTTTATTAAAGACCCGTCGGGGTCCCAACTAAGCAAGTAAAAATAAATTTACATAGAATTTTAGACGAGGTAGGCAGAATCTGTACAAAATGCAATTCATAGTTTCTGAATTTGTAGTCCGCTAAGAAAAATGATGAGCGAAGTGCGGTCTTCTTTCAAGTGGGCAACAGCTCCCTAAAAAGTACTGCATTACGTTCTTGAAGAAGAGTAATTCACGGTAGTGTACTCAGCCCGCTTTTTTGCCTTTT